GGCCAAAATTACCATCTACTTCATGATCTCAGTGGGTGAGCAGAGGTTCCTTCAATCTTCTTCGATCTTTCTACAAAAGTCAGGAAGAGGAAGTGCTTCCTCTTCCCAACTTTTCTAGGAAGATCGAAGGGACCTCTGCTCACAGGGTACTCTGTTGTGTTATTCTTTCAATTCTGCAAAATCAGCCACCTACTCCAACAAATAAAGCTTCCTACTTGAAAATGTGGTGGCAACCCTGGTTAAGGTAGATTAACTTAGGTTGGAAACAATGAATTATCATGGAACTAAAAATAAATGTAGACCTAAGACCCCCACCCCTCTGGAAATTCCAATTAAGCTCCATAAATCTCTTTAAAGTTTTTGGTCTTACAGAACCCCCACCCACCCCCTAGGAAATCCAATTCCTTCTGTGGGGAAGTATGGATATTTTATGGAACTGCACATTAGCCTCTAATCACTGTGGAGGTCCAACACAGTTTGTTTGATCAGTTTGACCATGTGAATTAACTCGGAGGTCAAATTTAAGCTGCCTGCTTCAAGAGATGCTTTGAAACTAGCCCAGATTAATTATTGAAATGTTTCTAACTTTATTACATAATATTTAACATTTGAGCCATAAAATACACTTCATTTTATTAGTGACAGAGATGCATGGTAGCTTTAAGCCAAGGTTGCAGCAAATAACTTGTGATACTGTGTAATGATCACCTCGATGTCTACAATATCAAGTTTGCGAAGTTCCAAAATCAAGGCAACCACATGCACTACAATATGAAATACAAGTTACTAGTCTAAAGTTTTTAATTTAAGTGTGCCATGCACGTGAGGAAGCATTTCATAACCCACAGCAACAACTATTCCATTTTGAGAGTATTTTGGCAAATACTACATGTACCTCAGTGACCATCAGAATTCTAAACATTAAACTAGACATCAGTTATTTTTGTTCAAAAGGCCTTTAAAAAAATTTCCAAAAGCCTTTCTGGGAGTCACTGCCTGATAGTCTGTACTCCACATAAACATTAGGGACCTTTAGATTGAGTATGAGTACGATTTTGAATTTCAAACCAGTGACATTTCTGGAGCCCTTGCTCTTCATGTTGGTTTTAGGTAGAGAGGGTAGCTCATGGGATGAGATGGGTATGTGATTTGATGACGTGAAGCCTGAAAACTAGAATTGAAAAGTCGTACTGTCTCATACTTGATCTCGTACTTGTGCTCAAATCTAAAGTCCCCTAATAATCCCTTTGCGACAACCGCCATCAACCCTTGCTAGGGTCCCAAGACCGAATGAGTTGAAAATCAATGCTGCATGGATGGATTTTGCTGTTGTCAGGACTCGTTAGACTCCATTACACCAACATAGCATACATCATCCTGAAATGAAACACAAGAAATTGCTTTAGCTTAGCCTGGAACTGGCATTTCACATCATTCTTTTAATATCATGCAGCGATGTTTGATGATGATTCTTGAGGACTGTGAATAACAAAGCATCTCAATTATGTTTTGTTGCCTAAAACATTAGACCAGCTAATTAGATTTATTTCAATTGTAGGCTTGAAAGTACTAAATCAACATAATTCTAATCAGTAGAGTGGCTGGCATTTCCAGTCAAAACAAAAAAACAAAAGATTGAAACAAGGTGAAAAGCAGTCCATTTAAGTAATGCTGTTAAGCCAGGATAAATCCTTTCAGTCTGTGTAGAATCAACAGTCACATACCTATAGAGATAATAAAAGAAGCACAGTAGAAAGAATGTCAGTTTAATCCACCCCTCCTTCTGGCAGCGAGACATGACATTGGCATTCATAACCTCTGTTGGGTCATAAAGACCAGGTACACTCATTACTGGCCTGTTAGAATACCTAAGATAGAATCAAAGCAAACTCATAAAATACATGTAGTTATCACAGTGTGTCCAGCAGCATGGTTGTTCAGAAAAATAGGGGAAAAGAAAATCATGATTGTAAAAAAAGGAAATGTAGGAACTTTCTTTCAAAAAAATTGGAGAATCAATTAAACCACTTTGATGGACAGAGGTACATGTGTACATGTGGCCTCCCTACACCCCATCAGCTATTTTAGTTCAGTTCAGTACCACAAGTGTAGATATATAACAACACAAGCATCAGA